GGGGAGCGACGGGCAGGGAGGGAGACGGGGAGCGACGGGGAGCGACGGAGAGCGACGGGGAGCAACGGAGAGCGACGGAGAGCGACGAAAACCAACGGACAATGAGGGAGACGGGGAGCGGCGGGGTGCGACGGGGAGCGACGGGGAGCGACGGGGAGCGACGGGCAAGGAGGGAGACGGGGAGCGACGGGGACCGACGGAGACGACGGAGAGCGACGGGGAGCGACGGGGAGCAACGGGGAGCGACGGGCAGGGAGGGAGACGGGGAGCGCCGAGACGGGGAGCGACGGGGACCGACGGAGAGTGACGGGGAGCGACGGGCAGGGAGCGAGACGGGGAGCGGCGGGGAGCGACGGGGAGCGACGGGGAGCGACGGGCAGGGAGGGAGCGACGGGGACCGACAGCGACGGGGACCCGAGCGACGGAGAGCGACGGGGAGCGACGGGGAGCGAGAGCGACGGGGAGCGACGGGGACCGACGGAGAGCGACGGGGAGCGACGGAGAGCGAGGGGGAGCGACGCGGAGCGACGGAAAGCGACGGAGAGCGACGGGGAGCGACGGAGAGCGACGGGGAGCGACGGGGAGCGACGGAGAGCGACGGGGAGCGACGGGCAGGGACCGACGGAGAGCGACGGGGAGCGACGGGGAGCGACGGGCAGGGAGGGAGACGGGGAGCGACGGGGACCGACGGAGAGCGACCGGGGAGCGACGGAGAGCGACGGGGAGCGACGGGGAGCGACGGAGAGACGGGGAGCGACAGGCAGGGAGGGAGACGGGGAGCGACGGGGAGCGACGGGGAGCGACGGGGAGCGACGGGGAGCGACGGGGAGCGACGGGGAGCCACGGGGAGCCACGGGGGGCGACAGGGAGCGACGGGCAGGGAGGGAGACGGGGAGCCACGGAAGGCGACGGGGAGCGACGGAGGGCGACGGAGAGCGACGGGGAGCGACGGGGAGCGACGGGGAGCGACGGGGAGCGAGCGACGGGCAGGGAGGGAGACGGGGAGCGACGGGGAGCGATGGGGAGCGACAGGGAGCGACGGGGAGCGACGGGGAGCGACGGGCAGGGAGGCGGGGAGCGACGGGGAGCGACGGGGAGCGACGGGGAGCGACGGGGAGCGACGGGGAGCGACGGGCAGGGAGGGAGACGGGGAGCGACGGGGAGCGACGGAAGGCGACGGGGAGCGAAGGGGGGCGACGGAGAGCGACGGAGAGCGACGGGGAGCGACGGGCAGCGACGGGCAGGGAGGGACGGGAAGGGACGGGGAGCGACGGGGAGCGACGGGGAGCGACGGGGAGCGAGGGGGAGCGACGTGCAGGGAGGGAACGAAGGGGAGCGACGGGGAGCGACGGGCAGGGAGGGAGACGGGGAGCGACGGGGAGCGACAGGTTCTGAGTGCGTACGGGGAGCGACGTGGGGTGAGCAGCGCCCGGCCGGGAGGGAGACGGGGGAAGCAACGGGTAGAGGAGCGACACGGGGATGCGAAGAGGGAGCACGCGGGAGGCGACGGGGCCGGAGCGTACGGGCAGGGAGAGGAGACGTGGGAGCGGACGGGGAGCGCCGTGGGAGCGACGGAAGGGCCGAAAAACAATCCCGAAGCGAAGGTACCTGCATACCATGAGGGGAGCAGCGTACGGGGGGAGCGAAGGGGTAGCGGGACGGGAAGCGACAGGGAGGCGACGGCGGGGGAGCGACGGACGGGTAGCGACTGGGAGCGACGGGAAGCGACGGAGCGACGGCAGGGAGGGGACGTGGAGATCGATCTGGGAGCGCACGTGGGAGCGACGGGAGGCGAACGGGAGGACGGGGGGAGCGCCAGGGAGCGACGGGCGGGAGCGACGGGGCAGGAGGGGCGAAGAGCAACGGGGAGCGACGGGGAGCGCAGGCCAACGTGGTAGAGCGACGGGGAGCGAGGGGAGCGACGGGGAGCGATCGACGGGCAGGGACGGGCAGGGAGGGGCGGGGAGCGACGGGGGAGCGACGGAAGAGAGCGACGGGGCGGAAGCGCACGGGGGAAGCCGACTGGGGAGCGACAGTTTGGAGCGACGGGGAGCGACGGGTGAAGCGACCGGCAGGGAGGGTGACGGGAGCAACGGGGAAAGCGCACGGGGTAGCGACGGGGAGCGACGGGGAGCGAACGCGGGGAGCGACGGGCAGGGAGGGAGACGGGGAGCGACGGGGAGCGACGGGGAGCGACGGAAGGCGACGGGGAGCGACGGGGGGCGACGGAGAGCGACGGGGAGCGACGGGGAGCGACGGGGAGCGACGGGGAGCGACAGGGAGCGACGGGGAGCGACGGGGAGCGACGGGGAGCGACGGGAAGCGACGGAGCGATGGGCAGGGAGGGAGACGGAGAGTGACGGGGAGCGACGGGGAGCGACGGAAGGCGACGGGGAGCGACCGGGAGCGACAGGGAGCGACGGGGATCGACGGGCAGGGAGGGAGAAGAAGAGCGACGGGGAGCGACGGGGAGCGACAGGCACAACGGAGAGCGACGGGGAGCGACGGGGAGCGACGGGGAGCGACGGGGAGCGACGGGCAGGGAGGGAGACGGCGAGCGACGGGGAGCGACGGAGAGCGACGGGGAGCGACGGGAAGCGACGGGGAGCGACGGGGAGCGACGGAGAGCGACGGGGAGCGACGGGGAGCGACGGGGCAAACCCTAAACCTACCCTACCTAAAACCATGCCGACACCCAAAGCCATCCCTAAACCAACCCTAAACCAAACCTCCAACCAACCCCAAGCCAACCCCAAGCCAACCCTAAACCGACCCTAACCAACCCTAAACCAACCCCTAAACCAACCCTAAAACCAGCCCTAAGCCAACCCCAAGCCAACCCTAAGCCACCCCTTAAACCAACCCTAAACCGACCCTCTATACCGACCCTAAACCGACCCTAAACCAACCCTAAGCCGACCCTAAACCAACCCTAAACCGACCCCAAACCGACTTTAAACAAACCCTAAACCGACCCTACACCAACCCTAAACCAACCCAAAACGAACCCTAAACCGACCCTAAACCAACCCTACCCTAAACCTCCCTTAAAACCATGCCGACACCCAAAACCAACCCTAAACCAACCCTAAGCCAACCCCAAGCCAACCGTAAACCGACCCTAAACCAACCCTAAACCAACCCTAAACCGACTCTGAACCAAGCCTCAAACCAACCCTAAACCAACCCAAAACCAACTCTAAACCGACCCTAAACCGACCCTAAACCAACCCTAAACCGACCCTAAACCAACCCTAAACCGACCCCAAACCGACTTTAAACAAACCCTAAACCGACCCTAAACCAACCCAAAACGAACCCTAAACCGACCCTAAACCAACCCTACCCTAAACCTCCCCTAAAACCATGCCGACACCCAAAACCAACCCTAAACCAACCCTAAACCAACCCTCAAACCAACCCTAAGCCAACCCCAAGCCAACCCTAAACCGACCCTAAACCAACCCTAAACCAACTCTAAACCAACCCTAAACCAACCCAAAACCAACCCTAAACCAACCCTAAACCGACCCTAAACCAACCCTCAAACCAACCCTCAGCCAACCCCCTGCCAACCCTAGCCACCCCTTAAACGAACCCTAAACCAACCCCAAACCAACCCTAAACCAACCCTAAACCAACCCTAAACCCTGCCAACCCTCCAACCCTAAACCAACCCTAAACCAACCCTAAACCGACTCTGAACCAAGCCTCAAACCAACCCTAAACCAACCCAAAAAACCCTAAACCAACCCTAAACCGACCCTAAACCAACCCTCAAACCAACCCTCAGCCAACCCCCTGCCAACCCTAAGCCACCCCTTAAACGAACCCTAAACCAACCCTAAACCAACCAAGCCTAAACCATCCCTGAACCGACCCTAAACCAACCCTAAACCGACCCAAAACCATGCCTAAACCAACCAGAAACCATTTCCAACACCTGCCCCGGCAGCATTCCAACACCTGTCCAGGCAGGTTCCGACACCTGTGGACTCAACTCCACCTGAGAGATCCTCACTCCACATTTACTCGTCCAAAGAAGGGCTCCGTTTAGCTTCCACGACAAAAAAACAAAACACGAGGTACCTTCAAAACCCATCTACCGGAAGCCTGTGGTTGGTGACCTGTTTGCTTTCCAATCCTTGGCACGTGAGCAAGAAGCCGCCCACCAAAAATGCACAGAACCAAACAAAACACACAATCAATGGATAACGATTTAAACAAAGTTGCGGCCACCCATAAAAAAAAAAAGCAGAACCAACAAAACCACGAGTCATCCAAACACCCAAAACGACACTGAAGCAACACAAACACACATGCCAAGAACAGCGAGGGCATTTTTTTTGTATTTTTAAACTTGTTTAAAAGACCTGGAAATAAAAGGTGATCACCTTTTCGGGCCACTAAGAATGGACCAACATAGTGTGGATGGACGAAGTCCGCCACCTAAGGAACCCTAGAATGATGATTCCCCAACGTAAACACCATACAAACGTTCTGGTTCTCATTTCGTGACGTGGTTTATGGATTTCGCAGCCACCCACAGGAAAACCCGGAAAAACCGGTCCATTGATCCGGTGGATTGGCTTTTCAAGGGGTTGATTCCCGTTCTTCTCAAGAACCAGCTGGGATGTTTGTGGTTTTTAAAGAAAAAAGGATCCCTGGAAAGAATGGAAATGGAAGGTACCCCTAGAGCTTTGGGTCAAGTGCCTGAGCGCCAACTCTATTGGTCCTCAAAAAAACCGGTCCATAGAGCCGGTGGCTTTGGAGAAGTCGGCTTCGTCCCCAGGCCTTCTTGGGCACCTTGGGGATGAGGTGCGTCACCGAGCCCATGGAGTCGTCCCAAGACCCGTAGCCCGTGTAGGGCGGAGTCTTGGCCCTCCGGTCCGGTCGCGGGCGATTCTTTTTGGCGGGGGGGGTGTCGGATCTTGTTTTTGGCTCGCGGAGCCCGTGGTTCACCTGGGTTTAAAGGGAAACCAAAAAGGAAGACATACCCATTTTCACCCTTTAAAGGGAACCCAAAAGGAAGACATACCCTTTTTGGGAGGTCCCCGATTTTAGCACTACAGATACCCGTCTGTGGTCTCAAAATGGGAGAACCAAAATTGTGCTTTTCCTGTCGTCCCTTGAAACCAATTCCAAAATGAGTACCAGCTAAAAAAACAAACACCCATACTACACAACTAGACCCCTACAACTTTCGAAGGGATTCCCTTTTGCGAGGGCTGGCTAACTTGCTGGTTCTCAGTAGGGAATCGGTCTCGAACCACCAGTTGGATGGTTTTGGTCGCTGTCATTTCCGCATCTCCTGCTGAGAAGCAAAAAATAGCGAGCAACAGGTGGCAGCCACATGAGTTAGGGCATCCAAACTGTCGTCCATCCTACCTTTGCCATCGCTGACAAAAGGCTGTTCCTGAAAAATGGGGAAAAAACAAGGGGAAGCTATGGCATGAGGGAACCAAACATCCACTTGGAGTCTTGTATTTTGGGTGCCTCATGGAGACTCCAGGCAGATATTTCTGCATGAGAAGCCATCTAAAAACAAAAAAACAAACACTTACTTCAGACCAACAATAACGTGTGACGGTCGAATCGAAATATATTGTGCTCTCCGCATGGAGTCAGGCGAGTCAGACTCAAGACCATACTAAAGTGGTCGACCCAAACCAGCGGCCAGCGGCACCGAACTTTTTGGTTGGAGCTGTCCCAACCAAAACCCTTCAATCAGCTTCCCTTGAACTGGTGGTTTGGATTGGTGATGATTGTGGCTTTCCATTTATCCTCTATACGCACGAGAGGTTCAAATCCCCAAACCACCAACTAAGGGTTCCCTAAAATCACCTGAGGGTGTGGATCCGGTGAGTCGCTGGCAATACAGTGGCCGGACCAAATCCATTTCGCACCACTTCGAGCCATGCGGAAGCCAGAACGTTTCTTGGTATTTGCAAGAGAAAATCGAATCGTTCCAAGGGTTCTTAGGTGCAACTTGGATTTTGTCCATCCACAGTAAGGCCAGAAGTGGGTTACTAGACCAAGGGTGCCAAAGCGAATGCCAAGTCTTTCCCTTAGGATCCAACAATCAGAGCTGACAAAAGGGTGCTGGGTGCTCACTGCTCGAGTATATATCTCACTATCATGTAGTCCAACTCTACTTGAGCAATCAAAACCCCATCTGGGTGAATTTATATTATTTCACAAACCTGAAATAAGGTAATTGGGGGGGCTATTCCCCACATAAACCCAGCAATTGGGGTGAATTCGGTCGTGTGAGGTCGTTATAATTCACCCAGACCCCATCCCCCGACCAAAACCATCTCCCATCCCCCCCATCCCCCCCATCTCCCCCTCCCCTCCCCCCCCCTTATCCCCCCACCTTTCCTCCCCCCCGACCAAAACCCACGGAACGCACTTCGCTTCCTTCCTCCCGCGCCTGGGCACGGCGCGGTCGGGCAAGCGCACGTCGATGCGCGGATCCAGATCTTCGTTGAGCTCCCGCTGGAAGTGCCGCCTAGTGAACCTGGGCCCGGTCAACCGGAGAACTTCCATTTCTTAGTGTCTTTTTCCCGGGCAAAAAATGAGAAAAAATGCATGTCCAGTGACCGATTTCCCTGAAAATGAAAAGGGAAAAAATTGAAAGACCCCCATACCGTTCTTAGAACCTTAGAATACCTTAGAGGTTCCAAGAGAATCCTGAGAATCTGGAGGAATTGGGTGGGGCCCTAATGTGGCCACAATTTTTAATGGGGGACCCCCAACAGGTGGACATCATTTAGGTGGGGATTCAGCTAACCACCAACCACTTTTGAGGTTTGAACTCTGAAAGTTCAGTTCGCCATCTTTGCCCATTTTGTTGAACCCGCTTGCCGTAGCCTCACCATTCTGTTCAAAAATATAGCATAGCACAGCTTGGGTTTACCCAAACACGCCTGGCTGAGCTGGCCGACTCTCGGTCCCAACTTTGTTTCCTTCACAAGGCCCCAAGGTACACCCTGAGGCCTAGCTTCGGTTGTTTGATGTATCTGACATGTGAGTTTTTCCCTAAGCTTCCTTGTCAAATCCTAAGGAAACCAAGTCCGTGCTGGATTTTTCGGTTTCGGAACCTCTGGCTTCCCACATGTTTCCAAGGAACCCAGAAGGAAATCAAATCCAAGCACCCCCCCCTCCTTTGTCCCCCGGCTCCCACATGCGCAGAAGCAGCTTCTCTGGGTCAAAGACAAGGCCAATGTTTTCGGTGCTCCTTTTAGGCCCAGAGCTCCGAATTTCTGCGCGTGCGCTTGCTTTGGCTGGACAACTCGGGGGATCCATCTGCCTCCCCGCAAAATACCGCAGTGGTTTACGTCATGGGGCTTCATCTTTCCCAAGTGGTGAGAAATGGATTTCGCCCACTGTATTGATGGTGTAAGCATAATCCATTTGATACTTTGTCTACCTCAGACTACCTTTCGGAATTCAAAAAGGGATTCTTTCCCCAAAGGTCGGTTAGTTCGCTGGTCACTGAGGCTCGGTCAAACCGCATGAACCCTTCCTAGGTCCAGTAGAGAGGTTAGAATAAGGGTACCAACTTTTTCTGTAGTCTATTTTCGTAGGGGAACCCTCCCAACCAACAAAAGTTGGTAAACAAAAAGCCCCTAGCTGGGCGAGCTAGCTGTAGACGTCGGCACGCCCGGCACGCCCCGGGGTCCCGGCTCATCTGCGTCGTAGATGAAGAAGGAGTAGTTGCCCAACAGCTGCACCTCAAGGGGCGCTTCTTTGGAAGGAATCGGACACCCCGATCTGGCGATCCACCAAATAGACTTGCTGCAGCTCAGCGGGGAATGAGGGAATGATCGCTATAAACCAGCTTTTGTAGTTTCCTTTCAGGGGACCAAAGCCTAGGTTCATTCCATGCCACATTCCCTATGTATCGCACCAGCCACTGGCCCCATGACTTGACCATGATCAAAGTCACCCCCGTTCAGTGGTGGGTTAAAGGGAAACAGCCGATTCCAGTTTCGGACTTTGATAACCCCCAGAAACAGTCATAATATTGAGCCCTGCCGAAGTTTTGATGGCAAAGAGAAGCCAGAAGGAAACAGCCCATGTTTCACACCAAGCCGGGGAAGAGAAATGGAAACTGAGCAACGGAAGCAAAGAAACCAGGAACAGCGAGTGTCTACCCTGGTCAGACATCCCTGGCACCGAAATTCGGGCTGGAAAGCTTCGAAAAGAAAACTGAACACCAAAATTCGGCCCTGGATGTTCGGCAATAAGGCCAAAGGAGCCGATCCATCGAAAAGCAAACGGGCCAGCGCTTTGCCGGATCCGAACCCCTAGTAACCATTATCTGTCAAACGTGGCTTGGGACCCCTTTCAAGCATTCCTAGGGGTCCCCCCTTTCTCAAAAAAAAACAAGCAGCACATTGGGACCCATAAGCTTTTCAGGCCCTTGACCGGGGATCGCGCAAGGGAAACGTTTGGTGCACACCTCACTCTGATGCGCGAGAGAGAGAGAGGGACCTGACTCTCAGCACATCCGGCTTCATCGAGTTGGATTTTGTTTCTGCCTGAACCTGCCTGAAATCCAAATCCGTTGATGGCCCAAGGTACCCGAGACAGGTCGACTGAGCCCAGCGCTGTCATGTTCACCCTGAAGTCGTTGCCATGAACAAACCTCAAAGCGCCGTGAAAAATCGGCCAGGGTCAGCGGACGTGCCAGCGCTGCGGATGGACAAACTCCGCATCGCACCAGTTAGGATAAATGAAGCCCTAGAGATGGTGGGATAATCGATCATCTGGTGCAGGATTCCATCCACAGTATGACCAGTGACGGTCAATTCGTCTCATGTCCTATGGGCTTTGCAGGTGAAATGTAATACCTCGGTTTTTTCTGGGCCATGTCCTATGGGTTTTGACCCTACGTGTCCGCCTCTTTGACATCGAGCAAGCCCCTCAACTAGGCCGACAGCCAAGGACGCAAAAGCAAAGAAACGAGGTCCAACATGCTTTTTGAGCTGTCGGCTTTCTCAGCTGCCTTCGCCCATGGTGTCTTCATCTATCAATCATTTCCAAGACCCTTCAAACCCAAAGCAAAGGCATGAGACAAATACACCTTAGCGCTCGTGTATTCCTAATTTTTGGGCTTCCCCTTTCACCCTCAAACATAGAACCCACACTAGGTCCTCCAGTAGGGAGGTCAGAATAAGGGTACTCTTTTTTCTGTGGTCTATTTGAGTAGGGGAACCCTCCCCCAAAAAAGGGTAAAAGGGTACTACTGGGGGACCTAGCACAAAGAAGGCCCCTGCAGGAAAATCGTCTTCCCGCTCACCTCAGGTTCCATGCATGTGAGAGAGTGGAAGGGTAGTCTAGTGATGAGTTCGTCGATTGAAGAGATCCAGTCAAAGCTTTTTGACCGGAAGGGGCAGTAAAATTGCCCCATCCCCTAAGGATAAAGAATGAGCATGTGTCCAAGTCTTTGCATTTCATTGCATGGCAGCTTCCGTCAACATGTTAAACAAGTCATCAGGGTCCGGCAAATGTTGACACACGCGGTCCCAAGCAACGACCCACACCTTTCAAGCTTTCCCCATGGCTGTTTTGAGAAACTTGTGAAAATCCGTTTGGTTGTCGGCCACGTTTAAACCAAAACGGATCCCCGGAACCTTCTTCGACTCGTGCCACTCCTCTTTCAAACAACTTAAGGAGAGGACACCAACCTGTGGGATGTCCCAAAAGCAGCTGACAGCAGAACTTCCATAGTGCCCTTCCCTCACCTTACTCTAGGCATGCGCCACAACCAAAACAAACACATCCTCCCTCTATTTCATAAAATGTCTTCTTGGCCATCCTGGATTGGCCAAAAACAACACACCTTTGTTGGGCACTCGTTATAGGTAGACCCCTAAAACTAGAAAACAACCGCTCTTTTCTTAACATGGCGGAACCTTTGTTGGGCACATCATCCGTTGGGATGCCAAAAAGAACACATCACCATGACGATCTGATCACTTTAAATAAATCCGGTTTCCTTGAACTAATCTCAAACCGCCTTCCACCACGATGTCCCCAGAACGTGCCTCCGCCAGGGGTCCCCAATTTTCAGAGACACCCAACCATGGTCTTGACTTTCTTGGGACCTCTCCCCCTAATTTGTTTTTTCTGGGTGTTCTTTGGCTTCCCCTAGCAGACCAAACAAAAAGACCCACACCAACAAAATGGAAACAGACTCAAGCATTGGTCTGTCTTTTCTCGAGGCTACCCGAGTTTCTTGTGGTTTAAAAGAGAACACCCAGCGTTTTAGAGGGTCTAAAACAAGACACAATGGCCTCGGACCTTCGAAGCAGCGAAATGGCCCATCTCTCCTGCAAAATGGGTGGGTGGGTGGGGGGTGTGGGGGGTGTTCTGGGGTGTCCCTTTAAAGCAGCCCAAAAAGGGGGAAGATCGGTGGTTTCCCTTCAAAGCAGACCAACAACGGGGGAAAGGGGGGAAAATCAATTCGATCAAAACTCGCTCTGGAGGAGACCGATCTCTTTCATTTCCCTTTAAAGCAGACCAAGAACGCGGGGGGAAGGGGGAGATATCCATTGGAGAAAACAAAAAGACTCGTTTTGGAGGAGACAAAACGAGACCGACTCCATGGCTTCCAAGTGGCTCGTTCTTCTTCCGCGCTTGCGCCTGAGGGCCCTCCACCTTGTAGGCGCCCATCGGCATCTTGCCGCGCCGGAAGAAGATCGGGAAGTTGTCCCTGGATTCGGCGGAGGGATTTCGGCCGAGGGGAAAATCCCGCCCCCCCCGCCCGAGAAAAGAACAAACAAAGACGGATATCCATTTGGAGGATGGGGACGAGGGGAAATGTCCCAGAGGAAAGTTGATACGTCCATTTCATTTGGGTGCGTTTTTTTGTTTTGATGGGTATGGAGGATGGGGCCGAGTGGAAATGTCAAAGAATAAAGATGATAACTATCCATTTGGGCGCGGCATTTTTTTTTTTTTAATGGGTATGGGATTTCCCCTCGAAACAAGTTGATATCCATTTGGGTGCGGCACTTTTTTGGGATTTCCCCTCGAAAAAAGTTGAGATATCCATTTGGGTGCGGCATTTTTTGCTTTGATGGGTATGGGATTTCCCCTCGAAAAAAGTTGAGATATCCAGTTGGGTGCGGCATTTATTGCTTTGATGGGAATGAGATTCCCCCTCGAAAAAAGTTGAGATATCCATTTGGGTGCGGCATTTTTTGCTTTAATGGGTATGGGATTTCCCCTCAAAAAACGTTAAGATATCCATTTGGGTGCTGCATTTTTTGCTTTGATGGGTATGGGATTTCCCCTCGAAAAAAGTTGAGATATCCAGTTGGGTGTGGCATTTATTGCTTTGAATGGTATGGGATTTCCCCTCGAAAAAAGTTGAGATATCATTTGGGTGCGGCATTTTTTGCTTTGATGGGTATGGGTTTCCCCTCGAAAAAAGTTGAGATATCCATTTGGGTGCGGCATTTTTTGCTTTGATGGGTATGGGATTCCCCCTCGAAAAAAGTTGAGATATCCATTTGGGTGCGGCATTTTTTGCTTTGATGGGTACGGGATCTCGCCTCGAAAGAAGTTGAGATATCATTTGGGTGCGGCATGTTTTGCTTTGATGGGTATGGGATTCCCCCTCGAAAAAGTTGAGATATCCATTTGGACCCGATCAAAATGGTGGGGGTCCTGTTGGTTTCCCGCTAAAACCAGGAAAGATGGGTACGTTCAAGAAAGACACACACAGACACACACACACAGACACACACACAGACACACACACACACACACACACACACACACACACACACACACACACACACACACACACACACACACACACACACACGCACACACACACACACACACATTTGCCGGTTGGGTTCCGCTCAAAGTGCAACTTTCCTTTTGAAGGCTCGGAGTCAGCCATGCTGATCGCTTGTTGGGGTGATTCTAGAGGCACCAAGAGGACACGACCCCATATTCTTTCCGATCTTGGGGTCCCGAGCCCCCCCCCTATTTCGACACAGTGTCACCAACGTGGCTTGCACTCGAGGAATCCAGGAAGGCAACCCGGTATGAGACAAATTCAGGTAGGTGTACACCCAAAGACCACTGAATCTTCCCCAAAAACTACGCGCCTTCCGCAGTTCAGAGGGTACTGCTCCCGGATCTCGATGGTGTCGTCCGCCAGGAAGAACATGATGGTGAAGGGCCTCGTTTTTTTTGTTTGTTTGTTTGGTTTTTTTCCGAGCGAGCCGTTGGTTGGCCCAAGGATGTGTGAAGTTTGAGGCTCGGTAAAATGTTGGTTGGTGGTTGAAATGGAAACATCGAAACCTGAAATCCGTTTCGGGTGTCTCCCTTAAGACGCATCACAAAATGCCGGGCCTGCGCTAGTATTCAGAGTGGGTACCCTGTCAAGCAGGGCGGCCAGAACAGAAAAAGATCACACAGAAAGCCACCCTTTTTGGGGGTCCCCTGCTTTGAAAACTCACTTACCAAGTTGACTGGCCAAAAAAAGTCCAGGAACTTTCTATTTACAACTAAAATGGTCTTTCCAAAAAGTGTAGAGTCCATCAACTCAGGAAGTGACAATTTGACACACACACACACACACACCCAACTGGGGCATTTTCATGCCAAATGCGCCGTGCAAGATGGGGCAAACGCCCCAGCAGCCTCCCAGATTTTCAGAGTTGGAACCATCCATAGGGGCCGTCGGTGGTTTTTGGAGCCGGTGCCACTTTCTTGGTATGGGCTTTAAGAGGGAAACCAAGAGGAACACCACGACTTGTGTGGGTCCCTCAAAAAACACACACACAAAAAAATATCACAACCCCAGAACCCCATTCTAACGATTTAGGCTGGAGGTTGTCTCAAAAAGACCTCAAATGGGGCTGTTGCCCGAGCTCTGTTCCATCCAGGTCCTGCAAGCCCTGAAGGCTGCAGCCAGAACATAAGCATGGCTCTTTTGTTGTTGTTGAGGATACCCGTTTTGGGGGGTTCTTGAAACAGGGAAACCAAAGGAAAACCGCTCCCATGTTTCCAGCCGGCGGCTCCCCGCCGGCGGCTCCCCGACTTGCGATTGTCTCAAACAAGGCGGACCCGAAGAATGGTGGTACGTTTTGATTTACTCTGAACAAGTATCTACAAAGAGGGAACCTTCTACAAGAACCCAGTTTAAAGAACCCAGTGAGAGACAAACCCACGAAGCACGAAGCACCAAGCAAGAGCACACAGCTGGGGCGAGGGCCGGCGCTCGAACTGAGGAGTGGTGACCTGAACCGGAGGCACGGGTTAATTGGCAGCATGTGAGAACCCAGTGCCATGGTCAAAGCCGGAAGTCAGTTGCCCTCCCACCAATTTACATGGAACCTGACAAAAGGGAAAGGGGGTCTGAAAGACCATTTTCCGTTTAAAAGGGACCGGGTCCCTGTCAGGTTCCATGTTAATTAGTGGGAGGGTACCACCATGAAAACAAAAAAGGGTTCATATTTCACCACCAGAATGTGTTCAGGATTGTCATCTGAATTGGATCCTTGCCATTCTTTTCATGGGGGTTGAACCCTGGGGTCCTGTGGGACATGGCTGGATCTGAGATTTGGCAATAGACAACATGACCACTCGGTTTTTGGTGGGGAAAAAGCAGAAAGTGCACCACCAAAAGCGCTGGGTAAGTGGCAGTTCTCCGGGTTCCAAGTTGTTCTCCATTGCTCGAAGGAACCACCTGGATCCCGCGCCCGTTGGGCCACTTTTGAAAAAAAAGGAGAAAAGAGTATCCCCACAAGACGGCGATCAGAAGAACCATGGAAGATGCCAAAAGCAAGTGCTTGGCGCCGCTCAGTTGTTCACAACAAGCAAAACACGTACATGTCTTCTTTGCAGTTGTCTGCAATGTGGGTGTGTGGCTTCTGAGGCTCGGTGCCCGTTTTGCAGTGGCAAACCAAAGGAAAACCCAAACCTAGCATTTTGGCGGGGTCCCCTATTTAGGCGTGTCCTTTTTCAGGGCATTCCCAACAAGTTGCGGCTTTCTTGGTTTCCCTTGAACACCACCGAAGTAACAAGAGACACACCCATTTGGACACAGAGAGCGAGTCCAAGCACCGCTTTAAGAAACGGGAAGAAAACGGCGCGGAGCACTCCGAGAACCCCCGCATCATCCATCACAGCAAAGAAGCGCAGCACCTGACGGCTGTGAGTTTCAAGCCCGTTTCAAGGCCTTGTTCTGCAGGGGTGGACCGGTTCTTGGGATTCTTTACATTTGAGCGGCCCTATTTTAACCCATCCGCTTTTGCATGATCAAGCAACTATTATGAAAGCAACCTGCTTTGGGAGTCCACTCAAAGGCCATGGTTGGTTTGACTCCGCATGCTTTGCCCAGCCCTACTTCCAGGTGCTTCCAGTTGATGCCCGATCCGACCTCCTACAGATTATGTCTGCTGGCTGGGGAAAATATAGAGAAGACATTACAGAACCCCATGTTCCCTGTTTCCGCTTTAAACCAACCTAAGGGTGCCAAGCGTTAAAGCGAACACCAAAAATCCAGCATGTCCCGCTGATCCGCTTCCACAAAAACCAACCTGACAGCGCCGACTCCAAAACCGAACGGCCAATGCTCCCTTCGCCTGCTTGTCCTTCTCGAGGAACTGCTGCATGTCCGCGTTGATGTGGCCGCCGCCCAGCATCACCTGCCCCCGTTTTTCCAGCAAACCACTGCCCAGGTTGACAAGAAAATGACAAACAAGCACGAAATAGGATAGGTACCTGCTTCAGGGTGGTACATGCCGTGGTTCGCAAAATAATCCCCTTGTGTGATGGTTGTAAGAGGAAACCAAAGAAAACCAAACCACATGAATGGGGTCCTCCATTTTGTTTTGAACACCCATATCTGGAAGATCAAATAGACTTGGAGAGGGATCTCAAATCTTTTGGGGAAAGAAAGGATTCAGAGTCAGAGGGTGTTCGATTAAGTACTGCCTCAAAGCACACTACCGCCTGCCCTCTATAGGGGAGTTTGTACAGACCCCTTTTTGCTTGCTTTAAAGTGAGTCGGAAACCGAAGAACCACGTGGCGCGAACAAGTGGAATGCACCACACTTCTAGATTCCTCTCCAGCTAATAGTCCCTTCACTGAACATGTCATTCAAGTTCGCAGTCTTCAGCACATGTTGTTCAAAACGAGTGCCTCTCGAACCAGGCCGATTGGCCCTTTTGAGTCGAGACCAACACCTGGCTGCCGCACCTCTCTGTACATCTTCTCGTACGTCCTGGCTTGTACTGGCGCATGGCTCTTCCTGAGCTCCGCAAAGGCACTCGACACGCAGTGGACACCAAAAGCTGGCAGGTGGCCATCCACAAACACATGAGTCAGCAAGCAAGCACGCACGCACGCACGCACGCACGCACGCACGCAAGCAAGCAAGCAAGCAAGCAAGCAAGCAAGCAGCACACCAAAAATACAAAACAAAACAAAGATGCGCAAGGGGAACCGACTCTGTCCCAATCCCACAACCCCGACCCCAAGTCCTAAGTGTCCACAATGCACCTGCACCCGAAATGTTGAAACCACCTTCTATGAGGCTATTGCTTTTGTTGGCATGTTGTTGCTGCAAAACACTGTAACTCGAAGTGCCCATAATATGGCCCCCGTGCCAATCCCGGTGACCCTGGCCGAAAACGACTTGAAACCCCTCTTTGAGGTCAATCCCATATCCGTCCCCAACCCACTAAGAACTCGGAGTGATTCGAAGCGCCCCAGGAATTCCACTGACGTCCAAAGCCCCGTCCAACCCCCCCCTTGCAACAAAAAAACCCAGGCGTTTGCGGCTGACGAAAAACTCGGGCGAAGAATCCACCCAGCGCTGTGAGGCTTTGAGCCATTCCAAGGCTTTGGGGGATCCACCGAACCTCCCAAACAAAAACCCCCATGATTCCCCCCGTCCATCCCCCCGCTGCCCCCAGCCGCCCCCCGTGGTCCCAAAAAACTAAGTCCAAGAAAGAAAAAGGAAAAAGTAAAAGAAGGGAAAAAGAAAAAAAAACAGAAGAAGAAAAAAAACAAAAACGAAGAAATCTTTCTTTCCTAAAAAAAAAGGAAGAAGAAAAACAAAAACCACCCACTTTTCCGGGCGCAGGCGCATGGCGTCGCGGGTCTCTTGGAAGGGATCCGTCTCCTCGGGCTCCGGAGGCCCCTGGGGCGCCCCCGCCTGCTCGAAGTACTCCCTGCCAAGCGGCCAACACCGGCTCCAAGCGGCGCGCCGGGCGCGCTGCGCCGCGCAGGGTGTTTTTTTTTTTTTTTTTTTTTTTTTTAATCTCTCTCTCTCTCTCTTTTTATTTAATCATGTTGTTGTGTTTTGTTTCTTTAGTATTAATATTATACTTACGTTTACTTCTTTTTAGTGTGTGTGTGTTGTGTTTTTTTCGTTCTTCTTGCTTGTTTTTTCCCCCGACGTCTCGGGGCGAAGGAAACATCTTTGGACTTGTCTGGAATTGGGACCCCAGCGAGAAACTGAAGATGTGTGTTGCCTGGTTCGTGGAAAACCAAAGGGGGCCCCAAACAAAACAAAACAGGGGAGCTAATTCTAGGGAAGAGGAAGCAAAGGACACGAGGTCGGAAAAAGGTTGTCGCAGGGTGAGTTCTTGTGAATCCTGCTGCGGGCCGGGGGGGGGGGGGGGTGGTGGTGCTTTGGACCTCTTTGCGGGAGTTTGTACCTAAAGGACATGCATGCTGTACATACATTTGTCAATCCAAAGCAGTCCAAAAAGCCACGAGCCTTTTTGCCCCCCTGGAGGGGTTCTACAGCATCTAGCTAAGCTGTTCAAAAAGGAGCGCAGCGAGGCAATCCTAATCCATAACAAAGGGGACCGGTTCCTTGTGTAGGCCAAGGTAAGGATCTTGCAGATTACCTTTGAACAGGCAAAAATATTGCTTTTCAGTCCCCAACTGGAGAGCCTTGGCAATCCCCTCCGGAGTTGACCCCACGGACTGCTCCGCAAGACATCTTCTGCAGCCTTGTGGTTGCAGCTTGGGCGAGATATGAAAAGGCACTATCCAAGGGTAACTCAAGAAAGCGAGGGGAGGGGGGGTTGAGTGTGGCTCATGCCATGCACCACTTGGAGAGTCATGAAAGCCAATAAATGGGACAAGCCACCAGTCCCCCGCTGCGGACTTTGTCCATCCACGGGACTCTGATCCCTGGAAGAACGGCCGGCGAAAAAAACCGGAGTCCGACTGACCCCCTGCAAACTGTAAAGTGCTTGCTGGGTTGTGGCTGGCGACGTGGGGTCATGTCCCCCAAAAATGAAGAAGAGGTAAAAGGTCAAATCGAAGAGCAACCGCTGGAAAAGCAGAAGCCATCCGCTCCAGGCATCCGCAAATCATTGGCCTGCACAGTCTAAAAGTCAAATGCATGGAATCATCTCCGGGCAAATCTTTTGGGATCATAACAACCCATCGACGAAAGTGGAGCGCTAGGCCAGAAGGTTCGGCTTTTCCAAGCAGTGTTTGCTGCGAATTGGATGGCTTATGTTTTTTGTCGTCCTCTCTCCAGCATGTGTACATGGTCACTATTCCCTTCAGCGGAATCTTAATGACTATGAAGGGCTGATGACCATCACTTCCAAGCCCAAGCACAAGGGAGTTTCGATTCTGGCATAAATGATTCCGCATATGACTCACGAACGATATCATTTCTACCCCCCCCCCAATGTCCCCTCCAAACCAGCAACAGACTACGAACAAGAGTGTCACTTGGATGTTCGGCCAAGGAAGTAAGTGGTTAGCCAACCCATTTGACAACAGGGTCAATTCCACATAACCGAACTTTTGCCGACAACTTACTACCTTGGCGAATCGAACACCCAATGGCCAAGTTGTTCTACTCATATCCTTCTGACATGGCCATGGGTCAAAAGCTCGTACCCCCAGTGAACATGCCAATCCCCACTAAAATAGGTTCTAAAATGGGTGGTGCACCTACCCCAAAGTGGGATCCCATTGGTTTTGACAACCACAGCAACGTCTGATCCTTGCCGCCTCGTGAAAGGATCGCAGTCTGTGACAAAGATGCTCCTGCCATAGATCTGCAGGGTCTCTCCCACTCGCAGGTCCTGCGATTTGAACTCGTCAACCGATTTCTCGGCACGGGATTGACCTTTGGGTGTGGGTCAATAATAAATAGCCAGAGGACCGCAGGTGTTAGTTTCCATTTACCAGGGCAAGCCATTTTGGGGTTACTCTATTTTTGACCCACGGCCATTTGAGGCAACCCATGGGGAATTAAAGGGGGACACCTGTTAGGACCTGCCCGTTTAGGGGACCTGGATATCGGAGACTTTCACTTGCCTTAACTAAAGCTGGACGAAACGACACCTCAAAACGTAGAGCTATACCTCTGTGCTGTGGTCATCTCTTGAGGCCTCGGAGCGCCCAGCGCATGTGGTTTTATGAAGAAATAGGAAGAGGTCGGGTTGGTGCCTGGCGATTACATGGGAAGTCAAAGCTGCTGTTGGAAGGTTTGACTCAACAAATGGGCTAACGGCTAGCATGGGGAAAACCCGGGGGAAAGGGGGGGGAGACTTTGTTTTGGGACTAGGAAACCAACAAAAATAGATACTCTAACACAGGAAACAAAGCAAGCAAACCAGACAGAGAAAACAAACAAGCAAACCAACCAACAAACAAACAAGCAAACAAACAAACAAGCAAACAAACAAACAAACAAAACAAACAAACAAACAAACAAGCAAACAAGCAAACAAACAAGCAAGCAAACAAAACTACCAAGGACAGTGATGTGGGAATACCATAAGGTTGAAAGGGTTTGGATCCGTGGCTCATATCACTAGTCGTGTCCTCAGCTTTCAAGTACCCGCCCTGCGCCGAGGGGAAGCGATGGCGACGAATCAGCTGGCCTGGCCAAGAGGACAGATTCGGCGGACGGGCGCTTCTGGATTGGGATGCTTGGAAGAAAATCCTAGGTTTGGGATTGAAGGTTGATAACCTACCCTGAAATAAACTTAAGCAAATCGTCCTCGAGGAGACCCCCCCCACCCATTTTTCAGGGGGGAGAACGCCAGCGGAGCGAACCCCAGGCCTTGGGGCATGCCGCTGTTGTCTTGCTTGGGCTCCTGGATCTGGCAAGTGTCGTCCTGTACGCGTCAGGCGGGAGATTTGAAGAACAAGGGACGTGGATTGCCTTGGGTTTTATTGCAGTTGCCTTTTCGCGTGGAAATGAAATCGTGAATTCCCTTTGGTTTACTTGGCAGTTGCTTTTTGGCACCCTGAAAAAAAGTAAACCTGCTTCCCGTAGTGATAGACTGCATTTAAAGCTATCAGGGTCTTGTGTAACTCAGTTGCCCAGAAATGAAAGGCCCACCTGGCGCACGGTGGATCCCCCAAGTCAAAAGGTCGGCTTGCGACAAGTGAGTTCTCTCTTGAGAAGCTAACACCGTTGACACTGATCGCATTTCCGTCGGATCATCTTTTAACAGCTCCTCGGTGATGTGACTTGGAGCGCCAGAGTTGACTCTCTGCAATGGGCCGCGAAAGATTCCTTGCCGGCCGCTTGCAAAAGATCAACCCTGGAAACATCCCCGAACAGATTCTTCCCTTCGATTCCGGCTTCTCTGGCCTTTGGAAAGAAAAAGGCCATGGTTTGGCCCAAGCCCTTTGAACAGGGGCCTTTGGACGCTTCTCTTTAGTGCCCGGGAAAACACCCTCTCCTCCAAGTAGTAGTAGATCGTCACCTTCCGCACACCTCGGCTCAGACGGTCGCAGGGACACACATGACATGAACACTGTGCAAAAGGAAGCTTCCGATGCCTGAAGTTGTGAGCGAGCATAGCAAGCCACAGCATACAGCAAAGTGTCCAAAATGATTCCCGGAGCTGAACATGAATCTGGTTAGGGAACACAAACGCTTTTTGCAACATGCGAAAGTTGAAGCCAAAATACTGTCTGACCATGCACCAAGCTGGTGCTGAACAAATAGTGCACGGTACTAGACCAGCTCGAAATCAATGCCACATGTTAGCTCCTACAAACCCAAAGACTGCTCAAAGAGGACCAGTTCTAATCCCCAAACTATGATGCGTCCGTTACTTACCTTTTTGCCAATGAACCTTGTGGGCCTATAGTTGGGTACGCCTCAACATAGAAAACCACGCAAGCAATCATGGCGTTTCCTCGAATGAAAGGAAGCCAAGAAGCAACCCCCAGGAAGACAACAAATTCAACCTGCACAAGGGTCCCTTGAGCAAAACTTGGTCTGCCACGAGGTGCAGGTTCTCTGTTAGCTTTTGGGAGGGCCCAATTTATTCCCCTGAAGTTTGGTAGAGCAGCGGTAGTTCTCCAGGTTCGTCTCGACCACAGACTCCTCGCCCACTTCGCCCATAAACCGCTTTCAGAAACCGCCAAATGGGTGGCTCGTCCGTTTTGAGGATACCCCCCAAAAAAAAGTTTTCCCTTTTGGCTTCCCTTTAGAACCGCCAAAACGGTGGTACACAAGGACACACCTTAATTGGACCCCAGAGTCCGCATCTTAATCGGAAGCTCCCCCCGATTCTAGCGCCATAGTCGCATGGATGGACACGTCTCTGTTATGGCAGTCAGAAAATATGCCGTACCCGCAATAAGAATGAGAAAAGTGCTCGTTTGTCTGGGTTTTGGTTGAATTTCTTCCATGCCTAAGCTCCCTGAGAAAAAAAACAAACATACCATATCCAGTAGTGATAGATCCCAATAGAAACCAACAGGGACAATTACACATATTCTTACGCACATGGACGATTTAGAAGTTCCTCGCTCGCAACGCGTCCCAAACCCATGGTCGAATCAACATGCCATGCTGGGCTGTACGCCTACCAAGCCCTGCCCAGTGACCCTGGCAAAAGGGCCCCAAATTCGGGCTGATCTTTTTGAGTGGGACGGAGGAACAATGATGCCCCTGAACAACTCCAAACGGCTTGCTGTGGTTCGCCCATTGCACTACCCACACCAACTCCCCGCTCGGAACTGCTTCCGTGGACCGCTGGGGTTGGGCCAACTAAAACACCTGAAATGGCAAAAGTGTCTCTTCGGCTACCCTTTGGAATACCAACCAAAGGGAAAAAACCGTTTTTCTAGACTCACGTTGCGTCTCCTTCTGGTGTCTGATTGACACAAGAGCCCGACCTGTGTCTGGTTGCTCGTATTTCTGCCACCAATTCCTGGAGTCTCTAATGTTGCATCATGGGGCAATGTAGGGTACCCTCACTTTTGGGGTACCCCAAGAAGCAACCAAGACATGAGACCTACCTTCGCAAAGTGATTTTGATTGCAATGTTCTACTTGTTGTTTGTCTAACGGGGTGCCCCGCATTGCAATACTATCCTCCAGTAGAGAGGTTATGATAAGGGTACCCTTTTCTTCTGTAGTCTATTTTAGTACCCTCCCCAAAAAATGGTAAAAGGG